CCCTTTCCTTCTCCTTCTCTCTCCCATTATATTTAGCAGCCAGACATGGTTTAGGAGAATTCTTAACGTGTATTAATGGAATCGACGGTAATAGCTAGTTCACCATGGAACAAAAAAAAGGATGATGGTTTACTTTTCTAGATGTCCTAGTTAGCAGAGAGGGAAACAAAGTGAGTTAGAATGTGTGCAGGAAACCCACAAATGCAGGGTTCTTTTTAACTCCTTTCAAGCCATATTTATGTGGTTAAATTAGGAGTTATGAAACCCTCAGTAGCAAGGAGCTTGCGCGTTTTAGAAGTTAGTCATCGGGAGCAGGAAATAAGGATATTAAGAAAAATATAAGTTGTTAATGATGACCCACTAGGATTAATTGAAAATTGAACAGAAGCTGGGTTTCTAAGACTCCCTTAGTAGGTTGCTACTGGCATACCTTTCATTTCATTTGGGAAGGCTGGTGGAAGGGAGTCGTAGATTGGCCCCACCGGACACCGGGGAAACTCCATTTCCCCATTAATTCGCCTATCTTTGTTGAAAATTTACAGGAAGGTAGCATTAGGAACTATGACGAAGAGTTGTCTAATTCCGTGTTCAACCTCATCTCTAGTTTTTGCCCCGTGCTCAGCTAACTCTGATTTTGGAACTCAACAGCTTCTACAGACGCGTTTGCACTCAATCACCCTTTGTCAAATGGGACGGCAAGTCTACAACATAAAAGTGAACGCATCAACACATTATTTTATAGCTTTTGATCTGAATAATGGGTCAAAATTCTCTCTAAAACTAAGCATGAAAGAAAATGTCATAGTTTCCCTGAATACTGTTTTTATTCCCCGTTTACTTACTAGTTGGCCTATCTTTTTAGAGAGAACGCACAAAGGCAAAGACAAATCATGAGAAAGGGTCTTCCCATCTCTCCTTACGTATTAATCATTCAAAAAGGTACTCCCTATTAATTTAATGTTATTATCAATCATACCTTGAAGATAATTATCCTTAAGTAATATTAGTTCAAACCGGTCCAATTCATTGTCACAATGGTCTATCAGCTAATCGTATGCTATGTATAATCATCGATTTTAAAACATCGAACTTTTTTTGCAACTATGGTTAGAAAAGAAATTAATGATAAAGCTAGTGTGTGTTGGCTTCCTATATATATATATATCACTGCCTAGCATTTCGCTTGCTCTAATCACTAAAACACCTAACTTTTATTCGCATAGGTTACACTTGCTCAACATATCTTAAAAATGTGTCCCCATCAGAAGCCATAAATTTAGCTCTTTAATTAGGATTCATAATTTGATGAACCAAATACAAGCTCTTTACTAGTAAACAACACTGGATCAGCTAAGACTTAAGTAAAGTTGGAAATAAGTATTTTGTCAAATGCTATGGCAAATTAATGTTTGCTTAATCGATAGTCCCACTATAAATGTGATTTGAATAAGGCCTGTTTCTCAAAAATATCACATCCTCCCGGTTTTCAACTGGCACACTTGCCTGTGTGCTGGAGCGGTAACATCTCCACAAAACTCACGACTCGGTAACAATTCCGGTTAGTAATGCCTATAATAAAAGTTATTTGACCTTGTTTTCGCAACTCGGTCATATTGGTAGGAAGACTTAGAGGAACGCACCTAGTCCAGAGTTCATTGTATGCATCATCATTTCCAGAGTAGGACCATGGACGTGGTACATTCCCAGACGCTTCGCCGGCATCGTCAGTGAGTCTCGCCATTCGTAGCACCATATTACAACTCGCCAAAGAGTTACGAATGGCGAGACTCACTGACGATGCCGACGAAACATCTGGGAATGTATCACATCCACGGTCCTACTCTGGAAATGATGATGCATACAATGGACTCCGAACTAGGTGAGTTCCTCTAGGTCTTCCTACCAATATCACCGAGTTGCGAAAACTTCTATAAAACGAAATGAGGCTGTGATCACACAAAAGGCCACACCATCTTGGTCTTCATACCTTCGAATGTCGATAATGCCTATATAATGTGAAGCCAAAACTTCTGACCGGCCTGGATAAAAAAACCTTTTTTGGGGCGAATCTAAGTGAAATTTACTGACATCTCAAGGCCTACTCATCTTTTCACTGCTAAACTTGAACATTTCTTCTTAAATATTCTTATACGACTTTGGGTTACTATACTCCTTTTATTCTTATTAGTGATAGTATCGAAGTCTACGTATACAGAAAATTCTTAGCTTATTTCCGTTTCGCATAGATAGTTAATATTTTAAGTTGATTTCTTCTTTATCCCGTATTTATAGATATTCATAAGTGCTATGCAAAATAGGGTAAGAAATAGAAGTCAAGCTAATACTTCTGGATGTTCTAGTGAGCAGGGAAAGTAGTAAGTTAGATACAGGTGTCTATAAGAAACCCACATGCAAGGCTTTCCCTACTAACTGCTTATCTAATAATGCTTATGAGCTCAAAGTAAGAATTGTGAAATCAAATATAATACGGAGTCTGTGTCTATTAGACGCAAATAAGAGGGATCAGAAACTCAGTGGATTGAGTGATATATTAATTCAAAGCACTTATATATTAAGATTAATAGATAACTGTTTCCGTACTCATAAATAGAATAAAAGGAAATTGCTGTTTCCTGATTTTGCCGTCTTGTTAATCTGTTTAAAAATCAGATGAACTACTGAGTTACATACTTTCCTCGGACATTCTTTCTTTTCGAGAATTTTTCGCCATTTATTTATTCTAGATCGTAATTATTTGGTAATGTATATTTTGGAGAGACCTGCCGGCTCATCCAGTAGAGCTTATTTGAGCCTTAGACTGCCTGTTAATGTCTATGGATTGATAAATCTGAATTCGTTGTGCATCTGACTGATACGATATCTGTGATCGAATGGTCCAAACCACAGCGTTTTTCAGGCTACAGGACTTCACTTCCAAGCGTAAGATAAGGGAGTATATAAAGATGTAAAATAGAGGCAAAATAATGAATTTGATGGATTAATGCAAGAAATTGAACGCAAACTATTTATGGCTGCTGGTTGGACTTAGGAAAGGGAAAGAATCGTTGAGCATAAGGAACTATTGAACAAGAGAAGGAAACCTTAGTAGCCTTGAGTCTGGTTAGGACTTAGATACTGCATATGTCTTGAACATTGCTTACAAAGTATACCCATACCACATAACTAAGCATGCACCATCAATAGAGGATCATAAGTTGGTTTATTTATGTGAGGAAATAGCTGCCACTGCATCTATTTATTCACGATTTGGCTTTATCCATCTACGAGCCTGTTATGTTAGAATGAAGCAATTAGCCAAATCATTGGATGCTTTGAGACCTCAAAATCAGCTATAAGTAGTTAGTGGTTTTCCGTCTGGCACCATTTCTCTTAGTTTAATATGCTGTTACGTCTTCCCGCAAAGTATGCTTTCTCGCTCTATGTCTGCCACACGACAAACGTGAGCTTAGCATGTGCTCTTCGCAGCCGCAAAACCGTGAGCCCAAGATTTCCTCGTAAAATCAAGCATTTCTAACTCCAAAACTATCTAACGGTTTACGATTTAACCAACTCACGAAGTACTTATAGCTTTTTCTTTGAAATGAAGAATTGAGTCACTAATTCACTTAGATATTATTAAAAATCCAGCTTTCCTCGTATGTACTCCAATAAGAAATTTGTTTTCTTTATAGACTATCCATCATTTAACTGCAGCTCACTTTTACTTATGTTTGTATCCATTTTTCTCTTGCTCTTTTCAAGGCTTCGACTCAAGCCCCTTTAGACGGCAATTATGAAACAGTTGGTCAGAGTCATATTCGATTAACTCGATTGGATCGAGCTTTTTTCATGCCTGTGGATGAAGCGAGTACTCAAGTAAGAGTTCGTGTGCATCCTTTTTATTCATTCATCATATGGGCCTAATGGCCCAGATTATTTATATCCTCTGTTCATATTTCTCCATCATTTCAGGGCTTTTCCCCATCGAAATAACGCTAAGGGGTTTTATTGCTTCTAAGGAGTTAGTGGTCAAAACACTAACAAATGGAATAAATCTTCTCTCATTAGATCATATTTCTCTTTTGAATATAGCCGAATGAACTCCTTCACCTTCGACCTGCAAGGCTGCATTTTTCTCGAGTAAATAGTAATAACTCGTCATTCTAGGTCATGGACATCTCGACTTGATGTCTACGGGCTTGCCATAGAATCCTATTATGCCAGAATATCGGTAGACTTGAAAAATTTGCTTCATCACCTTAAGGATAGAATCTCATGCTGACAGTGCAGGCTGGAGACATTCGCACTAGAATTGTATCGTATTTTGTTAGTTTATGGCCGACAACTTTCGTATTGTACCTTTAATTCAATATTAGTCCCCAATCCGCTGACTTGGAGAATTCTATAATAAGGTCAGCATTCATGCGTTCAGCCCCCAACAGAATTATAATTCCTAGTTATTTTTGGTGTTGACTGGAATAGTAGTCATTATATGGGCATAACAGCCTCTACCTCATGAGCCCTATGACTATTTGGCTTATTGGCTAATAATATTAATTTTTCGTATGTAAGTAGAGTTTCGAGACTACCAATCTTATGCAGAAGGTCTTTTAGATCATCTTATAACATTCATTGATTCATCTATCAAAAATTTTGAGGGGCATTCATTATTTTTAATTTAGGATGTTTTTTATATATTTTTATAAACTACGTTTGACGCCCATAAAGAAGTCTTAGATGGTCGCTTTGAGTTTTCCTCTACATTATACTTCTTATCAATTTTATACATTTAGACATCTTTCGCTTCAATCATAAACGACCGTCTTGGTCTGCTAATACAGCAGAAATCCAAGTATTTGTATAGAACGAGTACTCTTTTCATTTAAGTTTAGACTCAGATGATCATCGCTAATTATCCTTACATATGTATGCAACTTCTACTATTTTTCTTCTTTTCCTAGAATGTAATTGTCCTTACAACCCAGATGTTGCATTCTCATATGTCAGATTCGACCTTTACGCATTCAGCTTCTGAGCAGGTCTCTGAGCAGGTTCCTATTCCTGGCGCATTCACGCCACTTTTTGCTGGAGCTACAGCCAATACCAATGATGTATACGGCAACTCCCTCTCCTGCTCATTTTCGACCCATAGTACTATCAACACTCCCCAACTTCAGACAAGCGGACTTTTACCAATGACAGCAGGAACAGCCACTCGTTTGCCCTGGGGCTTGGTGAACCTATCACGGCTCGTGAGACTTCGCTTTATTCATGGCTTCCGGCCACTCCATAGCCTCATATCGTCAAAAAATGCTCTTAGTGATGTGCAAGGTCATTCACTTTCGGCGTTGCACAGGACTACGCTTGCATCAGATAATTCATCAAAGATATACAAGTCAGCTAGCTGGTGAGCCACAATGCTCCAAATACACTAATTTCTCTGTTCTCCTTCGTATATTTGCACTTGCTAATGCAATCTTGGGTTCGTATTAGAACTAGCATGCATGTTTTTGATAAAATGACACTAGATTAAAACTAATTATTGATTCCCTTTCATTATATTTAGACTATTTTGTTTTGCTCCCTTTTATTATGCTAACTGCGTTTTTCCCATTTTTTTTCATCTTCTTCCATACACCCTTTAAAAAAGCATGACATTCGTCAAAGTTGAAGCAGAAGTATACAATACCTCAGATTGCCTCGTTCTTGTTCGCGTCGAGTTGCTCGAACCGGACTCGACGTAAGTTGCTGCATTGGATCAGTATCACAAGACCTTTTCAAGTCATTTCTAAGGGCTGAATTTATTTGATAATATTAATTAAGCAGGACCTGGTAATTCCATCTTACAAGTCACAATTCTCTTATTTTGACCCAACCAAGTTATTTAGAGGTTGTTTGACCTTGTTTTCGCGACTTGGTCATAATGGTAGGAAGACTTAGAGGAACGCATCTAGTCCGAAGTCCATTGTATGCATAATCATCTCCAAGGTCGGACCGTGAACGTGGTACATTCCCAGACGTTTCGCCGACATCTTCAATGAGTTTCGCCATTCTTAGCACAACACAACAACCCGTCAGAGACAAGTAAGCCTATCCTTTGACCAAACGTGTGCTGAACATTTGTGGTATCTTCTCTTATGCCCTGGGCTATTTACATTTCCTATATCCTCCTTTCACGCCTTCACTGTCACAATTTTTTACCGTGCCTATTTATATGTAGTGTGGTGTTCTCCTTTGAGCGGCATTCATGAAAACCCTTCACACTCTACGCTGTCGTTCTCACCCCCTTCACCCTTGTGCTTGTAAAGTTGATCAGTTTGCCATATTGTTTCGCAGTCCTCCTTGCCTAGGTCTTATCATAGTCTATCTTGCCCCGTATGATCCGTCTGCCCTCTCTCTAGTTCACATATTTCACTCGACCCCTGCCACCCCATCTGTGCCACTCGAAGCGTTATTCGCCCTCCCCTACATCTGGGTGACTAATTCTAGTCTAAAGCCTCTGAGTAAGTCTCATGGTCACGCCTTTGCCACATGGACCACGTCTCTTATAAAACCTACTGTCAGCCCACTAGCTCTAATCGCCGCGCGTCTATCCTGTTTCTATTCCTAATACCAAGATCCTATCAAAGCAAGCAGTCCCACAACATTTGTGTGTTGGCACACAAGAGACTAGGGCATGGCAAGTCATAGACTTGATATTAGGGCTAGGAACAGGATATACGCGGCGGTGATTGCAGTTAGTGGGCTGACAGTAGATTTTATAAGACACGTGGTCCATGTGGCGAAGGCGCGGCCATGAGACTTACTCAGAGGCTTTAGCATTGAATTAGTCACCCAGACCCAGGGGAGGGCGAATAACGCCTAGTGTGACACAGATGGAGTGGCAGGAGTCGACTGAAATATGTGAACCAGAGGGCAGACGGATCATACGGGGCAAGAGATAGAATTTGATAAGACCTATGGAAAGAGGACTGCGTAACAATATGGCAGACTCTGATCAACTTTCCCAATACAAGGGTGAAGGGGGTGAGAACGACAGTGGAGTATGAAGGGTTTTCGTGAATGAAGAAGGGAAGATACCGCAACTGTTTAGCACACGCTTAGTCAAAGGATGGCTTACTTGTCTCTTTGACGAGTTGTTGTATGCTGTTAAGTATAACAGTGCTCACTGACGATGCCGGCGAAGCCTCTGGGAATGTACCACGTCCGCGGTCCGACTTTGGAAATGATCATGTATACAATGAACTCTGGACTATATGCGTTCCTCTAAATCTTCCTACCAATATGAGCAAGTTGCGAAAACTAGGTCAAACACCTTTTAGTCTGTCATATTGTTACGCAGTCCTCCTTGCCTAAGTCTTATACAGTCTATCTTGCCCCGTAAGAATCGTTAAGACGACTGACCAACCTGTTAGTAAAGACCACATATTTTACATCTAACGGCAGTAGAATCCGTCTGCTATCTCTCTGGTTCACGTATTTCACTCGCCCCCTGCCACCGAGACGTCTGGGAATGTACCACGTCGATGGTCCTACTTTGGAAGTAATCATGCATTCAATGGACTCCGGACTAGGTGCGTTTCTTTAAGTCTTCCTGTCAATATGAACAAGTTGCGAAAACAAGGTCAAACAACTTCTGCACCATCTTTGATGTTCATATTTTCGAGAAAATCTTCCATTCTATTAAAATGTCAATCAATCAAGAGAATATTGTGCCTTAGTTTTATGCGAAGAGTTCAAATGACATTAGATAAATTTCATCAAAAATAAGGCCAAACTATTCCTTGATCACTTTGAGAATTATATTTGAGTTTATAATTCCAGACAAGATTTATTTGTCTAATTTGCATTTCAACAACCTTCAATTTTCCATCCCACTACTAAATTTTTCTTCTAGCCACAAATAAATATTTATTTTTTCTGCATGCGCGCTCACCCATAAATGAGTATATTAACACGTACTTCTATCTGCTGACAACATTCATCCTAATCTCACACTTTATCTCTCCTGAAAATAGATCTCTGGTACAACCTTGTGTCAAGTTAGCTCCTTTAGACAATCCTGTCGATCCTCTTGATCGAGCTCAGGATCGGCGCATTTCTCCTCTGTCGCCTAAATCTCAACGGCCCCTACTCCTTCTCTGGGTGGGGCTCACTAGCCGTCAGCTCCTCTTACGACCAGGTGAGGCGCGTAGACTCAATTTGACTGGATTGGCACCACACTCCGGTATTTATGAATTAAATTCAATCTGTCTAAAAGCTGCCATCGTTTCCCGACACACCCTCGGTAGGCTTTCACCAACGAACGCTACCGGATTCACAGCGATACCTGACAAGCCGATTATCTCTCCGGCTCTACAGGCCAATGCCGTCTTTGTTCGCCAAGATAACAACTTTTCTACCATCTTAACCGTAACATAATCGAGGGCTGTATGTCTAGCCATTCTTGACCGTTATTTGCATAGCTTCGTCTCTGATATGCTTCAGGGCCTCTACCAATGCTTTCACCTTGCTATTCTTTATCGAATATCCGGATCCCCCTTGTGATACTTTCCATGTCCACCATTTTAGAAAGCATAAAAACAATCCTAAGGTGGCACTTCTCACCTCCCTTTCCCTTATTTCTTCCTTTATCCGTCCCAGACGGTAGCGTCGAATAAAATTATTTCACCTCAGGTGTTTTAGTTGCCTTCACGAAATGCTCGATCTAGCTGTGCATTTCAAGTGAACGATTCTTAATAAGATTCCTCATGACTAATTTGCGCTGTTCAAAATTCAACATCCCTGCTTGATTAACTTTTCTTTTCAATGAAAAATGGCAGGCTTTTCGTTAAAAATCTATGCATATATAATTTTTCATATCGATCTTATTATGATCGTGAGTTGTACATTATGTTCCCATTCTTCTGCATTAATATTGTTTGTTCTATCATTTCTTCCAAAAGGATAGATGTGCTGTTTGCTTAAGATTCCGTCTCATTGAAACTCTCGTATATACTTGCATCCCCTCGTGGTTAGCTACTTTCTTTCATTGCTTGTAGCCGTTTTCTGCTCCAGTGGCCAGTGGCCTCGTAGCGGATATCGACTCAATGAGTCTACATATGGTTTGTAGTAGTTATTGCGTGGTCGCGCCCCGTTGATTATACAATCGTCCTGTGAGACGCACTATGGCACATTGTAATCCTGGCGTTATTTCATGATTTATTTGACAAGTTTTGGTTGGAAAACCACATAGCAATGACGTCGAATCTTCTCACCATTTGTGTATGTTTGAGTTTATCTTTTTGGCCGCATAACTGTTTATGATATCTACTAACCTTGTTTACCCTCGAATAAGTCCATTTTGTGGTGACCTAAATTCCCTTTCAGGTTGGCTCAATATGAGCATCAATTTACGTGGCAGCATTATTATTCCACATATTTATCTATTTGACTTGTTATCCGCTCTTATTTAAAATATTCGTCAAGTATTAAAACGATCAACTCGTAATTACCTCTATTTCTCGCGAAATTATTTATGATTGTGGCGACCAGTATTCGAATTAGCTCTCATTAACCTACTAACAGCATTTGATGACGACTTTTTTTTCGTTTCACAATGCTTGATTGTATACTTCTCACCAGACATACGAAATGTTAGTTTTTTTACCGTATGATTGCTGGATACAGCTCGGATCCTTGAACATTGCCTCAGTTGAAGAGATGTATGATACATCATGAATCTGGCCTCAGGAAGTGAAACTGTATGTACAGTTGTCTGTGACAGGTAAGGCCTACGCGTACATGTATAATGCTTCTAAATAAAAGCAATTGAAACAATTAAAAAACGGGGCTCCTTCGTATCAAGTTATCTTAGGCCTGACTACAATTTCGACCCAGTTCGTATATTATTATCCTGCTGAAGGCATCTCTAAAACTTAGTGGAATTATAGTAACTAAAGTCCACTTGCTCTCATTAAATTAATTCTATCTCTTCGCTAAACTTTTGGATACCTGGATGGATCATGTCAAAAATCAACTCAATGCACTTATGGCTCGGCTGGGGCAATAGCGAATTTTTACTTGATTCTGGACACTCCCAAAGAAACAGAGCATCGCAGCCGTTTGCTTCACCATTTCATGCGACCTAGGATGAGCATAACTCTATATTCCTTTAGAACTAAAGAAATAAATAACCCCAACTCCCAATAACACTCAATATCTTGAGAAAACTAAATCTAATGCATTAGTTATGGGTTCATGGGATGTTAGGGAGATCTATAAAATTTATTCAGACTAAAATTTCATTTCAAGAATAGATTAAGCCACATATTTTGCAGTGAACCAGAAGTTAGGGTAGGTAGAATTTATATTTTGGGAAATCGAGCCCAGCACACGCAAGACTGCTTACTTTTATATTTAAACATCCTGTGAACAAGCGTAAGCATTATCATGCCTGTAGCTAATCTATTTATAATGTTAGTATGCATCTCACAAAATCATCACCGTGATGCCCTTGTGTCAAGCTAAGTATGCATTTCGTCACACTAGCAAATAGGCAGTGAAGCAAATCGATTAGGTAGTGAAATGTAAGACCGAAGCCCACATGGAGTAGCTACATCGCATCTGGCAGCTTGGTAATGCCGTCATATTATCATGAGGAATTAGATCCCGATATGAATACCTCTAGCTTGGTCGCAGTCTCCTTTGACTGTATGATCTTGTACCTAGTATGTACTGTCTGTAACTTAGTCCAGAGCAGTTGGCGGCGCCAAAGTCCGGGAACATTGCGAACTATCAAATTATTTGAAGAAATTTTTTCGTAGATTCTACTATTTTGGCAACAAGCATATAAACAAGCCTGATGGTCAGGATAAAAGAAAATAAGCAATTGTGTCATTCGATGATCTTTTTCTCCGTTTATTTTAAAATGTTTGAAAGCTCCTATTTACAAAGGCGTCTAGTTAAATCTTCAAAACGCCGTATATATTGGCAAACAAAAATTCCCTAGCTCAAACCCAGTTACAGCGAGATTTGGATTTGCGCATGCCTCATGCTATTAATGGCACCACTAAAGGCTGGTTGCTATTTTCATAATTTTTTGACAAATAAATTTTGAAACTATAATTTGCGTTGACTATAGGCACTTTAGAAACCTGTGAATGGCATTTTTCAATGACAATGCTGACTATTATGCCGGCGAAACGTGTGAGAACAGTCGAAATTGCAAAGTTTGGTGGTACAGTAACTGACCAACACAAAAATATATTTTGCAGAAGACTACATAAGATCAAGCTTCCCTTAATATTATTGCTAATAGAAATAATGGAAAACTAAATAACCATTATGAGGTGGCATGGTAAACTAGACTGGTACTCTATATGTCCAACCGATGCGTTGGAATTCGACACTAAAAATGAAGAACGTTTTGAAAGATCGATAAGACAAAGCTTATAGCAACAGGCACTACACTTATAAGAAAACCCATTGACAAGCTATTTGACTGGTCTCTCACATTGGCTTTTTATAAAGGAATGAAAAGCAGGGAATAGAGGCTCCCTAGGGAAGGACAAATGATGAGATGTTATATGAAGGACAAAGATCATCCTCATTTTATCATGTCATCTAGTTTCACATCTATTAAATAGGTCGATCGTATTCCAATAAACTCGGCCGTCGCATTTGACGCAACCCACATAGACATACGTGTAGGCGTTACCAAATAACCGGCATGGATCGAGGATGTTCGCGGCTGGATAAATACAAGACTAGTAAAGGTCAATTTTACGTTATCCTGTGTCTGTGGCCGAAAACGAAAATATTTATGCAAGCTAGGTTTAACCAACGGAAAGAATCACAAGCAATAAAATAGCCCGATATAGCTGAGCGAGCCTAGTGGCGCAGAATACTTATGGGGTGCTGCTGAGTATTAAATATGCCAAATTGAGATAAGGCATAAAATCCATCTAGATAGGAAGTAAAAAAATAACGCAAAAATGCGAGCTTCCCCAGCAGTCACGCAAACCACTTTTTATAAGCAAAGTATCATCGACTAAGCCGTCGAAGGTGCATGGGACAGACAAAAGTATTGATCATCAAAATTAGTATACCCAAAGGGCCAAATGGCAGTGCGATAAGTAGCCGGTAAAATAAAGCAAGTAACCCGAAAGGAACCAAAAATAGTGACTGGATATCGTACTTAGTAGTGGAAAAAAGCAGTCGCGAACTAGTGAGAAAAACTTACACTAGGATATAAGTATAAATCAAGGTACAGCAACATTCTGCAGCCTAAAATGGTAACACCAAGCTAAAACGCTTCGACATGTTTATAATATTCCACAAAAAGAATTAAATGGACTAGGACCGGAAAACGAATGAGCAAATCAGCATAAACATTAATACTAGAATGTAGGCCGTGAAATAAACAAGAAAAAATATATACATGTGTATATGAATCAATTAAAAGGAATATAGTGGCAGAAAAGTTAACCACACTGCCGGAATCGGATACCGTGCTGATGCCATCAAAATGATCAAGTTTCTCCATAGCGAGCACTTTACGAATGGCAGATACGAAAGTGAAGTCACCAGGTCTTGGGTGAGCGAATAAGAGGCAGCAAATCAGAAAAATTACATAAGACATCAGTAACGTTTCTCTTGAGAAGTGACTGATAAGCAAGACGAAAATGTTACGAGTGTGGAGCCGATCGGCTTTCCAGACATCGTAAATAAACTGGTGTATGCAGTCGCTAGACAGGCAACCTTAGCTAAGCGGTACTCATCAGACCGGTTATGAATGCTAGCAGCACCTAGAGGAGAATGAGATATGATTGTGGGCATCAGGATTAGCAATGGATCATCACACAAAAGGAGATGCATTACCGGTTAACCGGATCAGTGATATAAACAACCGGACATTGGAGGTGGGATAGGCGTCCAAGTGCATATAGTCAGGGTGCACAAGGCCGTATTAAGGCCTATTAGAAGCGCAGAACGTCGACTGAGTCCTTTGGAAGAGGGGATGGGGATTGAGTTTCGTGCTTACGGTGTAAGAAATTAAGCAATATTCAGGCAAGGAAAATGTATTAGGGTGTTCACATTAAAGTAACTCTGACCAAGATGGATTATGCGTGAAAAAGATTGGTAGAGTTTACTCAATAAGGGCTTAAATCCTAAAAAGCCAAAACATCTAAGTTGAAGAAGAGAGATCGGGAGCGCCACAATTTAAATTATAAGAAGTAACAAACTAATAAGACGGATAACCATCGAATTTTGAAAAATGCGCCCAGGGTGAAGAAATCAGAATTTACGAAGCTTATCCATACATAATGCCATAAAATGCAAAGAAATACAGTTGAAAAAGAAAAGACGTCCAAAACCAGCTGAAGATACCGTGGCCACGAAAGCGAATTAATAAATACAAGGCGAGTCAAAAGAAGAAC